TTTGCTAGCTATGGAAAGAAAAGTTTAATTCTCCAAATCATTCCAAAATTAAGGGTTTTTTATTTGAATAACTCAGTATGATATTTATCTCACTAATTGGAAACAGGATTTTAAAATTAGGAATCACTTTGAAAGGAAAACTTAATAGTTGTAATTGACAACAAGCCCAGTGTATATAAGCAATTTTGCTTTAAAAAAGAAAGTTGTATTATTAGAATTGTAATTTACTATTCTGAACAAGGCATGTGTGTACGTGTGTGTGTGTGTGTGTGTGTGTGTGTTTGTGTGCATGGTTGCCCCGCTGCTCTCTTTCCTGTGTAAGACCATTTCTGGAGTCAGGTGATAAGCTGTGAGCACCGCATTTTAAAAGCCATAAGGACTGACAGTGTGTACCCAGAGAACCAGGATCACAATATTAAGGAACTCCAAGTTATCATTTTAAAAATTAATGATTTATTGAGTAGAAGGCTTCATAATGACACAAAAGGATATCATATAGAAGGCCTGTGAGATTTTTTACTGTGTCATTGCAGACAGCAGAAGTGAAACAAGTGGTCAGAAATTTGGGAGAGGTTAGTTTAGGTTCAGAAAGGATTGATTCAATAACCATATTTGGAATTATTTTCCCTTGCTCTCCACAATGCTAATCACACAGCAAAAATGCGTGAATTAAAGAAGCCATGGATAGAGTTAGTTCCTCACTGGATTCTTTGGTCACAGTGGTCAATATAAATGTATTAGTTTATAGTTGTCCTATATTTAAGAATACCCATCCTGCTTACTTTATAGGCATATAAACCTGCATATGTTTATGTGGGCTCATATCCATATACCTTCAGATAATAGATTTTGACAGAGTAATCGCTGAGCTTACCTGCTGTTTATTACTCATACACACATGACTATGATTAAGACATATATCAGCCATACTTTAACCATAGTGGCTGGCTTTCTCTTCTTAAAATGGCTCATAGGAAAAAATAATAATAGACCTCATTCACTTTATGATTAAGAAGGTATTAAATTGGTCTTAACCTTAGTATTTATGTGATAATGAATCTCCATATGTTGGCTACATTAAGGATCCAACAAATATAAATAATTCAAAACATTTGAGCTTTTAAAATATATCCAACATATATATTTTTTACTCAACAGTTCATTTCATGGAATGAAGTCTCAAAATATAGAAGGAAATATTTCCTGAAATATAAGAACTTAGGTTAGAGAAAATATCTTTAAAAATGGAAGGTGTGTTTTGTGTTTCATGAAATGTTTAATAGACTACTCAAAATTTAAGAACCTTATAAAAATTCAATTTCTGAAAATTATGGCTGGTAAAGCAAGAACATAGACAGAAATGTAGATAGGACATGAGTGATACAGAAAATCAAAATGAAATTTACTTTCTCCTGCCTGTTTAATTGGTTTTCATGTTAGAATTATGGTACTCTATTTCAGATATTTCTTCTAGCCATTTTCTTTTAATGAAAACCAGTTAATTAGCCATGGAAATATTAATATATTTCCAAGTGTACACTAAAGTCACACAGAAGGTTATATTCCCAGGAAACATGCTGTAAGTGAAATGATAGGTCAAATTTTATATTTTGCTATAGAAACAATGTAATAATGGGATCTTACACTTTTAAATCAAAGGGTGAATGCTTAAAGTTTTTGAAAATAAACCGTACCACATAGTATATGACTTCATACTTTCTCAGTCAAATTCTAGTTATTTGTGAGGTCTTTGTTTACCTGATTTCTCTACCTTTCTTTGCTTGGTGTTATAGATTTGCTACCTCTAGCCCTAAGGAATGCAACTCCCAATCAAATATCTTTTAGACAACATATATATCCTGTAATAAGAAATAGATTGACTCCAATATCAAAGAAATAAGGAAACTAATAATTTATATTTTATACCTCACAACCCTGACCACTGGGGAAAGTACAGTGATAAAAGGAGGTAAGACGAAATCTTTTTATTAGCTTTTCAGAAAGCCACCAGCTATCTCCAAACATCACATTAGTTTGGTTTTTTTTTAACCACAAAGAGATTATTTTGAATTCTGTGAAGGGTGCTTTTTGATTGTTCCAGGAAGTTGAAGATGCACTATGTATTATAGTAATGACAAAGGTAACAATACTATCACAGCAGCAGTAGAGCTTGCCCTGCTTTATTTTACTAAGTCTTATTCATATGCCCTCTGTCATTTGAACATGTAATTGGACAGGGGCATGGGTCTTTTGGTAGGTAGGCCTGCGATAAAGAGTGTACTTCACAGACAAGTTCTGAAAGTTATGGTTGTGTTGAGAACCACTGATTGTAATTTTCTATAATGAACTGAAATATTAGAAACTAAGGAAATCATTTTTTGTCTTTCTTGAGCTGAGCTTGGGAGGAAGAACAGTTTGCAAGAGTTCAGAAAGGGCAAATAATCTGCACTCTCTGAGTCACGTTAGGCAGGTAATTATTTTATAGGTAGAATTAAATTTGACCCCAAACTGTAACAGCACAGAAGGCCTTGAGCCTGTGCCTCCTAGGGAGACAAAGAGAAGCTCAGACTGCTGACGTAAATTAGGCTTCAGGGAGAGTTCTTACCAAAACTTCATCATCCTTTTTTTTTTACTCTTTAGGACTATATCTCTCTTTGGTTTTTATGCTAATTAATCTTTTCTTTTGGAGATGGAGACAAAAAAAATTCTCATTTATCCCACAAGGACTAGAAAAATGTCAAATTATTAAAAATGATGGTAGGTTTTTAAGTAGAGCATCTGTAGTAACTTCAAAAAAGGCAGCAAGAACATAATGAATAAATTTTTGAATAGCAAAGTCACAAGCTTGTTCTTCAAATGAGCCCGCAATATTTCAAAGCTTGTCTATGTTGGTGTGACATGGGAGGTCAGCTCATCTCACGGGGTTATCTTGGGGTCTAGAATTATGGTTACAAAACACATTTCCAGTCAGAAAGGAGGAGAGGCCAATCGACCCTGACCATAGGAAAATGTAATATTTTAATTATAATGATCAAAACACTTGTGTCAACTGAAGACACATTCTCTGTACTACAGCTTTGAAGACTTTTGGTCCCAGTTAACAGTAGGTCTGGGTGTGACCCTGACCCTCACATGGCAGAGGGAGGACACTGGGTGCCAATAATAGGAGCACAGGGTACATAAGAGAGGGCTGTGAGCAAAGGAGCAGTGGAGATATCGTCCCTACTTTTGGGTTGTTTTCCCCTAAACAGTATATTTGGCAGTGTAAATACTGCATCAGTGTACTTTATTGGGTTATATGTCATATCTTATTGTCATGTGTAACTTGTAATATGATATAAAACATCATATTAGACCAACAATGAAAATAATCTGATCCTTTGGACAAATGGTCATACTTCCATGATGAGTAACAGAACTACATTTCTATAGAATGTTCCCTGGTGTCAGATACTTAGTGTGCTTTTGGGACCACCTTATCAAATGAAGTTTCTAATAGACTTGAGTGATGCCTGAGATCTTGAACTGTAATAATTTTAAGTGATAGAAATATTACATAGGTATATATGTTTTATTGATGCTTCATCACTTAATTACACTTAGCAAGAAAGTTTATTTCTGTCATGATAGCAGTTATACTATAGAATTGGCAATTTAATCTAATCTAAGAAAAATCTTAATCTTGAAAATAATGTGTATACATAGCAGGACATCTCTGGTAAAATTCACTAAAACTTTCCAAAAATGTATTAATTAATCAAAAAATAGAAATCTGATTTAGAAAAATAAATCATTGGTGTTTTAAAGTTTGATGCTGTGATTTTTCTCTTCATATCTTGAATTTTGTTTATAAAATTTTTAAAAGTGATGTCTGTGTTCTATGAAATGCTTAAAAGCTGCTATTTTCTAAATTAATTATAAATATTTGGTGGATATAGAGCAGGTCAACGAATTACTAGTTCATTTTGAACTGCCTAAACTTCCAAACTCAGGTCCCAAAGTAAATTCCTAACCAGATGAATTCCTGAGGCTCCACTGAGAACATGCACATCCTCCCAGGAATATCTCTTCCTAGCTGAAGTGCTGTTTACAAACCATACTTGTCAAAGACATGACCCATGAATTCCTGTGATAGAAACTGATAGACGTCTGCTGAAACCTTTCTGCCCAAAATAGGCACCAGATGAATAAAAAGAACTAAAACTTTTTCCAAGTAAATGTTTCATATAAAATGACATTGTATATGATTGCAAATCTGATCTAAAGGCAATCCATAGACATGGATAAGAAAGGAAATGTGCTTGCATGTATGTATGATAAATGTATATGTATATATAGTATGTATATATAATGTGTATATACGTGTGTATATATATATGTATATATGAAATATTTGTGTATGTATAAATTTCAGATTTTAGTCAAAAAGATACTTACAAGCCAGATTATCTCACTTTTCCCAGAGACAAGGTAGGGAGCAACTAGGTACACAGAACTGAGGTGTGCTAGGACTCCAGTAGCCACCTGGTTAGTGTGTCATCATCTGTAAAATAATCACGGTCATAGTATTTACCTGATAGGAGAACAGCACTTGGCTCATTAAAAAGTACCATGTCAGGCTTTAGCATTTTGCCCAGATATTTGCAAGAAAGAAAATGAAATAAGGGTAACTAAATATCATGTTGAAAATATATGCTGTGGAGTCAGTGAGACCTCAGTTCAAATCTCAAGTAATGCTAAAAGTTGGATGACCATGGACACATTACTTAACCTCTCAGAGCCTGTATTTCTTTGTTTTAAAATTGAGCTGGTAGTCCTGCAGTTGTGAGATAAGGGATAGATGGAAAACCCCTTGGCATGGTGGGTATTCAGTGGTAGGCTACATTTCTCTACAGCACCAGGGTTATTGAAGGAGACACACACACACACACACACAAACACAAATGTACCTGTCATGTCTTTTTGTGGCTAATACAACTGATTTTATGTGCTTCTTTTAGGGTGAACATGGCTTACCTGGGGCTCCAGGCTTACCTGGTCAAAAGGTAAAGAGTTTTTGTGTGTTGCACATGAACTAAGAATTTTAACATCATGACAATTGAATTTGCACATAATATAGTACAGATTCAGAAATTCTCCTTGATAAAACTGAATTCCATCAAAGATTCTTGGAAATCTAAGGACCAGTCTTTCCAAAGAGGACCCAAGGAAGCAATTTACCGTTCTAGGCAGGGTTTTATCAGAGGACTTCAGCATCATCCTCTTCTAAAGAAGTCCATGACAGTGCTCAGTGAGGGCCCCAAAAAGTTGACATAGCTACTCCAGAAATGTTTTTACTGCTTATAGCCACCGTCTAAAATGTATAGCAGAACAGTTTTTCCTGTCTTGGACTGGACTTCACTTCCTACTTATCCTTATTTTTAATAGCTCAGATTGCATTAAAATAGTAACTATTACACAGATAGTTATAGATGCCTAATCTCTTCCAAATATGTCTTTCAGAATGACAAAATCATGAAAATAAGAAATTTTCACTGGCGGGGCTTCTGTAAGTCAGTGCCTAGCATCTTTTTCTTTACTATGATGAGCTTCTTTTGTCCCCTTTTGCTGTCCAAGGATGGTATTCCCACTTTGGGAAAGCACAGGATTGCATGTGACCAGCATTCCTGGAAGCACAGGAACTGATGTATTCCAGTTTCCTGGAGCGACAGGGAGTCACTTCAGGTGGAGCCAGCTGTCAGGACACAGCCCAGATAATCCCACCTCGGGGAGAGTGTCACTGATGCAACATTAGATGCCCACCAAAGCCAAGCATAGCATTTCTAGACAAGCTTTACCGATTTTAATTATAAGATGTCAGAAGTTGCTATGAATTTAAGCTTTTCTCTGTAGCTAAAAATATCATTTTAAAAGATATGCACTTATAGTTACAGCTTTAAGAAAAAAATCTTTTATTTGGCCCAGTAAAGATAATGAGGTTGAACTGGCAGCAATGCAGTGGCAAGCTTCTGAATTTCTTCACAGCAGTTCTAGACAAAACCCAGTGGTACAGCATGTGCTGCATCTGTGAGGCGAGTGGCGAGCCAAGGGATGTGCAGATTTATCTGCTGGGAAATGGTTTTGGACTTTCCAGCAGCTGTCTGTGGTGGCTGCATCCTGCTGACATGCGGCTGATGTACTGGTGTCGCCTGGCAGCTTCAATGTCAGCTTGAGTTAACAGATCAAGTTAAAGTATGTGTTCCAGGAAAAGAGGAAAAACGTAGATCATGGTGAACATATCTACAAACTAACCTGTTTTCTCTCCTGGTAAATGAAGTAAAAGTATTGTTGATCATATGTGTGTGTGTGCGTGTGTGTGTGTGTGTGAGAGACACTGAAACTTGTATTTGATTATATATATATAAACATATGTAATACATTCACATATTATGCAGAGGTAGTAAAAAGCTGGCATTCCTTTTCATATAATTGATATGGATTTTGTTATACCAGTGTCCTCCATTGAGGCATTGCAGAAAAAGCTTCAGGTATGAAAGCCTCCGTCTGTTGTCCCTGAACCCTGGGACTTCTCCCTAAGCGCTTCCTCTGTCACAGCGCCCCCAGCATGAGGGAACACGTGAGCTATCCTCCACAGGGACTCTGTCACCATGAACGCCAGGCGCTTAGGAGGTGCTCAGTGAATGTTTGTTGAATGTATGAAAGGAACATCAGTACTGTAACTACTATGCCAAATTAAGTGGGAAAATGAGCTTGTCAGACCAGATAGGGCTTATTGAAGAAAACGGACTTATGCCTTTTAGGATAAATATGGCAATTGACAGCCAGGAGCCCTGAGACCACCAGCCCTCTTTCTGTGACTGAGGGGCAGGAGCAAAAGGTAGATGGGGCATGGTGCTGATGTCAGAGCAGGAGCCGGAGCTCCATGGTTCAAACGTGAATTTATTCACCATACAGATCTCGCTGGAATGATAGTGTGGGAGTTTGCTTTCTAAGAAGTCTGGACCTAGTGGAATAAATAATAATAATAACAAGAATGGCTAACAGTCCATGTGGGAACTAGAATGATAACCTCAGTTCTCAAAATAAATCAGTGACAAAGGTACTACTGTCATACTTATTTTATACATGGGGAAATTCAGGCTTATGAAGATTAAATTACCTTGCAAGTAGTGAAGCTACTAGAAAACTGTTCCTTTGGAATTTAGGGATATTTAAAGTTTGTATTACTTAATATTAGCGTTTACAAGGTAGGAGTGATTATTTAAAATTAGTGATCTTTTTATTATTGGGAGCTTTATTACTACAAATATATGTGTCATAAGTATTGTTTCTGTTACTATATGTACCATGTTTTTCTTCTACAGGGAGAGCAAGGTTTTGAAGGCATCCAAGGAAAAATTGGCGAAAAGGTAAATCTCTGTCTTTATACGTGTGCTGTAAAGATAAATTGCACTCTTGAAAATATTTTCAAATAGCATCTTCGATGTAGCATCTTTGTATTTCATGTAAGCAATTCAATACTTTTATAGAAATAACTGGAAGTCTTTGCTTCAGTTAAAATAGACTTAATATTTTGGTGATTGTCACAAATCTTTCTAAACTTACTTAGATGGTGGTTAGACATTTCTAGTTCAATACCTTCCATGGATACATAAAGGATTGAAACACTAAGAATTATATATTTATGTCATGGTGTCCTTGATCCACTGTATCCAAGTCTTTGCACAAATATTCACCTGGTTTATCAACAAAATTCTTTCCTGAAGGAACAAATAGGAACTAGCTGTAATAGGGTGTCACATGAAGGAGATGGTATACTGCAATTAGAATAATTTCAAAGTTTAGTAAAAGGATGGTCTTAAAGGTATGGGTGGGATATAAGAAAACCACAAGGGTTTGCAATGTCCCTGGTCATACCCACACAATAACCAGACCCAGTGGCAGGAAGACCCATCCGGGAGGCTGGGGACAGGAGCCAAGAAAGACAGGAAGCCCAAGGAAGTCAGTCCCAGAGGGTGCCAGTCCCCTACTGCTGGTCAGTCCAAAGCAAGAGCCAGTCAGGTGCGTGCAGAGTTCTGCCCCCCAGGGCCCAGGGCAGGATGGGAAAGATGGGCGGTGGGCCCTAACCACAGGGCCGTCATCTCAAGACACCTGCTCACACAACTAAGTTCTGTGTGGTTAGTCTTGTGTTTTAAGAGAGTATTTTGTTTCATAAATAATTACTGAAGTCATTCAATAGTTTAAATAGAAAACCATTCATTGTTTTATGAATATTTTCATTGTCTAGTATCAAGAATAGAAGTGCTTGGTCCAAAATTTCCCTGCAGATGATCATTTGAATTCTTCTGCATTCCAAAACTCTACTTTTGTTTTAAAATAAAATAGCAACAGTACCATTCCTTGTTTCATAACTGTTGTGTACATCAAATGTCATGTAATTAAAATGCCAGAGGAGGACTGTATCATTGTGAATTAGACAGTATTGCGGGCATTTAGCTTTCTTGGCAGTGATCAGTTATTTGCTTCTTCATTAAGTATTTATAGAGACAATGAGCATCTATTATAATTATAAGGCAAAGCACACATGTTGTAAGCTACATAATAATTACTTTTCCTCACTGAACTGTGAGGAAGAAAAAAATGATAGCCATATGATAACCATGAAATTGAGAATTGCATTAAATTATGACTATTTATAAAATGGGTCTCTCTTTAAAAAAAATTCCTTAAACATTTTTACTTTAGATAACAGTCATTGTGAGGCTATATCTTTAAATAAATACTCTATTTACACATATTTATGGTTTACCAGTGGAATTTTACCTGTAGGAATAAGTGAGACTCAGCAAGGTCATAGACATTCTGTGTAATATGGTCACTAACATGCTAAAATCTTATTTTGTATATATAGTTGGTATTGTTTGAGAATGAATGTGTTTTTACAGGCCATGAAGCATAGCAAAAACAGTTGCTATAGTCTGCTTCAAAGATTTCTTTTCTAGTTCCTCATATCTACTAGCTTGTATTCAAATAGCCAATTTTTGCCATACTTATGGAGAATGATTGAAAGTTTGTCAAAAAGAAAACATCAAACAAAAAATATCAAAAGAGAATCATAATTCCAATGATGGACAGTCAGAGGTAGGATTCATGTAATAACCCTTATGTTAAAAAATGTTCTTTGTGTACAATAAATGTTAATCATATAAGACCACTGAATTGTACAACCAAAAAACAATTAAAATGGTAAATGTTATATATATTTTACCACAACAATTTTTAAAATGAATTTTATAAGTATAAAAGTAGTAATTTAAACATCAGGTTTATGAATCCTTTTTTGAAAGTAACTATAAAATGCAGCCAATTATTGAATGAATATATTCAAAACTTATAAAAACAAAGAATAAAATTACCTAGCATGAAGGTAACTCATACAAATAAGAGAAAAAACCAACAACTCCACTTCAACAAACCTCGACAAAAAATACACTGGTATAAATGGTCTACAGAAATTAAAATACAGATAGGTTTTAAACATGAGATTATGTACCTTATTCCTAATAAAAGAAATGCAAATAAAAACTATAAAAAAAGTTCTTTCATTATTACTTACTGTGTATGCTGAAAAATCCATGTATCCTGACCCATACTACATGTATTTTTCATAGACCCATAAATAAGGTCATGTGGCTGACTGTTTTAGAGGAGAGTTAAACAGGAGTCCATGAAGCACTCATTTTGGTGTGACAACAACATGAGGTTCTTGGATTGCTCACAATGTATTATTTTCTGAACAAAGCCGATCAGTCTAATTTGAATATCAATTCCTTGTGGAAAACTGAGTATATAATTATAAAATGACCTACCTTTCTTCTTAAGTCCCTCCTTATGCCCTCTTCTGTGTTTAAAATTTGATAATTTTGAATGACACTAATTGCCAAATAAAGTACTAAAAAATAATAAAATAACTAAATTCAGGGTTGTCATATCTACCAAGGACATATGGTTGCCAGTCAAAAAATAAAGAATACATCAACTTTGAAAGATAAAATAGTATGCTAAAATAGTATGAGGATTTGTAAGTGATAATTCTATAATCAAGTGGAGACCAAGTAGAGAGATCAGTTGCTTTTTATCATGGCTAGAAAAGTAGCCTTCAGGCCAACTTAACTTACTCTAGACTAAGTTGTTTCTAGAAAGTAGAATATACTGCCCCTAGTCCAAGTGCAGAGGGACTCATTTGAACGTACAGCCACCCCTTGATATCCATGGGAGGTTGGTTAAAGACTTCCATGAAAATACTAAAATCTGCAGATGCCTAAATCCCGTATGTGCATACACATAAATCCCACGTATACTTCACATTATGTCTACATACCCTAGATCAACTTCTTTGGTTATGTTTACATTGTGTGACCAGAGACTCTGTCAAAGATATTTTCAAATTTGAAATGATAGGGTTACTTAATGTATAAAAGTATATAGAAAAATAAAACTTTTCTTTAGAGTGGTAACAGATAAATAATGGTGTATCAAATAATTATTCCAAGGAATGATTTTGCTTTTTTTAAAAAAAAACTAATGTCAGGTACTTCTTAAGTTTTAGCTAAGGTAAAATTGAGAACAGACTAAATAGATAAAATCAGGTCAAAGTTGAAATATATTTTTAGGATTTCACTATTAAAGCTTTCTTGGCAATTATGCCTAATATTCAAAACTAATGTAAGAATGTTAAATACCATTATTACAAATATAGCAGTTTCCCAAAATCACTTTAAAGTGGCTGTCAACATGTCACCTTACTTCCTGTGAATTCTCCCTTGGTTCATCTTGTGGAATTTTACTGAGTAGCGCCTGTTACACAATTGTTTCATTTACCCTGATAACATGCGTAAGACTTCTATAATATTTAGTAAGGACTTTCATTCAGCAGCTGACTTGAAAATGAAGAGAACAGATGGAATAAAATAATAACTATGACTTCAAAAATCAGACCAATTTATTGGTGGCCACTGAATACTGATGTGGGAGTAACCGTGCCAACTTTCAATCATGTGGGGTGCCAGGCAGTTGGGACAGGAATGGAGTCAGTCTGACAGCCAAGCCAGAGGCTTAATGGTGGTCATTACAGATTGTGTGTTGAGTTCTCTCAATTCTATAATGCTAGTGAATAATTAATTTGAAATACGTTTAATCTCTGGGGTTGCATCACTTATTAGTAATTATGGAATCTCAGAAAATAGAATGGAATCTAGAGACACACAGCAGTCAAGAGGAGAATAATGATAAAGGACCATAGTATTTCATGAACATTAAAGTCTTTTAAAGTATTATTTTCAATAATTGCATATTATTCCACTGTATGATGTAATATTTTATTTGACCAGACCCTTGTTGGAAATTTTAGTCTTTCCTGAGTGTGTCCTTGGTGATGTTGGCAGAGTAATTTTGGTGCAGTAATAAAAGTAGAAGCCAGGCTGGAGTTTGTTGAAGAGTAAACTACTGTGTACTTGACAAAGTAAAGAGACTATGCAGAAATCCTCTTCAGAACTGGCTGTGAAGGGAACAGTCACAGTAGGGCAGTAGCTGGAGGGTATGTGGGTTAGAGAAGAAGAAACCCACAGAGTTTACACTGAACTATATAGATTTCAGTCCATTTCTCTTAAATTTTATTTTGAGTCACGATCTCATTAAGTTTCTCAGGCTGAGCTCGAACTTGCAACCTTCTTGCCCGAGTCTCCCATAGTGGGGTCTACACCCGTTTTCTGCTTCTGCCTCAGCCACACCTGTCCTCTTGTGACTCTCTGACTTTGCCAAGCTCTCTTCTGTCTCTGATATGTCCATCGCTGCCTCCACTCCCTCAAATACTTTCTTTTCCCTTGACTCACTTCTATTTATTTATTACATCATAGAAGTCATTTTCTTAGCTGGATGTGGTGACACAATGCTGCAATCCCAGCTACTTAGAAGGCTAATGCAGACAGATTGGAAGTTTGAGGCCAGTTTGTGCAATTTCATAAAACATTGTCTCAAAATAAAAACTAGAAGGGCTGGGGATGTGGTTCAGTGGTCAACCATGCCTGAGTTTAATCTTTCACATCCCCTCAAAAAAAAAGTTTCCTTTATTCTTTAAGCATTTATCACAATTTATAATTATAACCTGGAGTTTTTGTTTAGTTCTTTGATTCTCTCTATAGAGTAGAAGCTCCATGAGAGCAGGGACCTAATTTGTGTATCGTTTTATCTCTAACACCAACACAGTGCCTGACACATAAAAGAATTCAATTCATAACAACGGGAGTAGAATACACAAAGAGGTAATTCTGCTTTTTAGCTTTCTAAAATATTATTTTGATACATTCAGTATGAACTCTGATTTTCTCAAACCCTTGCTATTGAATTTGTG